CAGGGAGGGCCTTGGCGGGGCTTCCTTGCACTCCCGCCGGCCTTGCAGGTCCACCGCCGGGCCCCTGATGTCAGGGGGTGTGGCATATGCTAATGAGTTATGCTAATGAGTTCCCCTAGCTCTTTTTCTACGAAACGACCCCTGGGTGTGACTATGGCTTAGGTGGGACTCTGGCTGCCCATTTTGCCGCTCTGGCTAGGGCCATTTGCATTTCCACGAGACTGAATGGCTCCGTGCTTGGGAAGTGACTCATATGCATCCACCTCTCCTCTTTCTCCCCATCAGCCAGCAAGATCACTTTATATACTCTGAGCCTGTACAGAGTGCAAGCCTGAGAATCATCCTTTGGGGGGCTGCGCTCTGGCACTAATCCTGACCTGTGAGGTATTTCACCACACTTCCCCCTTCCCAGGCTTTCTAAAAAGACAGCAGGGCAAGCCATGTACGTACAATAGGGCTTCCTGAACTCTTGCGAGACATGGGAGTTTAGACAGCTCTATTGGGCATGTGCAGCTTGCCAGACTAACTTTAAAGCCACCCAGGGAACAAGGTAAAAGGTAAAGGTAAAGGTTCCCTTGCTCGAAAGCCAGTCGAATCCGACTCTAGGGTTGCGGTGCTCATCTCCGTTTCAAAGCCGAAGAGCCAGCGCTGTCCGAAGACACTTCCGTGGTCATGTGGCCGGCATGACTAAACACCAAGGCGCACGGAACACTGTTACCTTCCCACCGAAGGGGTACCTATTTATCTACTTGCAATTTCTTGCTTTCGGACTGCTAGGTTGGGGAGGAAAGTATAATTAGCTGCTCCTGCTCCTAGTGAGCAAGGCAGTGGAGGCTTCAGCCCACCCAGAGCCTGCAAGATGATACCACTGCCTCACCTCTCTTCATTGGAGAGCTGGCCATGCTTAACAACATAAGATCAGTCCATCTAGTCCAGCATCCTGTCCCACACAGTGGCCAACCAGCTCCTCTGGAGGGCCAACAACAGGGCAGAGAGGCTGAGGCCTTCGTAAGAACATCAGAAGAGCCCTCCTGGACTGGACCAGCAGTCCATCTAGTCCAGCATCCTGTCCCACACAGTGGCCAACCAGCTCCTCTGGAGGGCCAACAACAGGGCACAGAGGCCGAGGCCTTCATAAGAACATCAGAAGAGCCCTGCTGGATCAGACCAGTGGTCCCTCTAGTCCAGCCTCCTGTCTCACACCGTGGCCAAACAGTTCCTCTGGAGGGCCAACAACAGGGCATAGAGGCCGAGGCCTTCCACTGATGTTGCCTCCTGGCTCTGGGATTCAGAGGATTCATGCCTCTGAATGCGGAGGTTTCCCTCAGCCACCATGGCTAGTAGCCATTGATAGACTCATCCTCCATGAATCTATTTATTTATTCCTGTGGCCATCACTCTATCCTCTGGCAGCGAATTCCACATTTTAATCACTCTCTTTATAAAATAGTATTTCCTTTTGTCCGTCCTGAACCTACTGCCCATCAGCTTCATTGGACGCCCTCGAGTTCTAGCATTTTGGGAGAGGGAGAAAAAAAATTCTCTGTGTCAACTCTCTCCGTCCCATCTCCACCTCCACCTCCAGCTCTGTCATGTCCTCCCTTAGTCGTCTCTTTTCTAAACTGAGAAGTCCCAGACCCTTCAGCCTTTCCTCATAGGGAAGGTGCTCCAACCCCCTGATCATCTTGGTTGGCCTCCTCCATGCTTGCTAGGGCCATGTGAACTCAAGACACAGCCTGTGCCCTCCGATCCCTGCCCCAGCTGTGCCTTTACCATCCCTCTTAACTTCTGACACATGCAGACAGAAAGGCACAATGTTAGCCGTGAGCTCTCTGTAGAAGCTCTGAAGACATGATAAATTCTGTTTTATACCATTTAAGTCAGGGGTGTCAAACATGCAGCCCGTGGGCCGGATCAGGCCCTCAGAAGGCTGCAATCCTGCAATCTGGCCCGCAAGGCCCTGGCTGTTTCCTGCTTCCTTTCCCACTTCTGCTGCTGCCACCACATCACAGCTTGCTTTATCAGACTCTCTCAATTGCACAGGAGAGATAGATAGGCAAGCCTCTCCTGTGCAATTGAGAGAGTCTGGTAAAGCTCTGCCGGTGGAACATACATAGGGCGATTCTGCATCTAGCATTTGCTCCACATTTTCTCAACTGGGAAGAAAAAGTGCAGCTCAAAACCACATCCAAATACCTTGGGGCAACGCCCCTACTGACTGCAAAGTCACCCCTGAACAACCATAAATCTATGCAGAAGGTTCCATAAAACCTGCTGATCAAAGAAAGCGGAAGCGGCATGGAGTGTGGAGGCTACCCTAAAATCCAGTGATCAAAGGAAGTGAGCAGCATGCAATGCAGAGGGGAATTTCTGTTCCAACGTGGGTTTCACAAAACAACGGAGGGAAAAGCCAATGCAGAATCACCCATAGAGTGTTTCCTCTAGTTCTCTCTCCTGTTATGAGGATCAAACAGAGGAGTATTGACCCAGGTATGCCACCCTGAGGTACCTGGTTGAAGGGTGGGGAAAAAATATACAAAGCCAATAGATACTGCATTCTGCTCGGAAACAGTAATACCTGAATAATCAAAGTGGAGCTCTGAGGGCAAGGGGGCCCTGGGAAAGTGTGTCATTTCCCAATGCGCATGTGAACGCATTTCACAACATCCCCTTTGTCTGGAATCACCTCTCGATTCTCGTTCCGTGGGAGCCGCACCAGCGCAAACACTCCATCTTGCAAATAAAGACTCGGCTTCAAGGGTTTGCTTTTAACCAGAAGAGACCGTTATTGTTCGCTGAAGTGGGACCCTGAGGACGCGTTGTGCAAACAAGTGCCCAAGTAGCCCCTGGAACAGCTTCGAGGAAGACACCAAAGGAAACTTTCGAAAACCGCCTCGCCTTCCCCCCATTCTCCGAGAACAGCGTGACTCATGGTGCAACACTGTACAGACCAGCCCTGCCCTCCGAAATGAGGTCTCGTAGGTTTGCTTTGAAATATGAGCAGAAAGGGACTGGCTCGGCAACTTTCCCTCTCTAGATGTTTGCCTTTCAGCATCTCAGATCCTGGATTTTTGGAAAAATTACATTTAGGATGCAATTTAACACACTCTTTTTATTACATTTAATGCACGTAAAACCTGGGAGCAGAAACATGGCATCGTGAGTGCCAAAAAAAATGGAATATAAAGACCCTCCGACATTTTCCAGATGAAAATAGGAATATGCTTGTAAGACCTCAGGATCCGGTGTAGGATGAACCCTGCTGGATCAGGCCAGTAGATAAGCATACGGAGTAGAGGTCCATCAGTGGCTATCAGCCACAAGGTATAGATAGGAACTCTTGGTCTGTATTCTTGGTGCTTGGGGGGAGGGGCAACAGTGGGAGGGCTTCTAATGTCCTGGCCCCACTGCTGGATCTCCTGATGGCACCTGGTATTTTTGGCCACTGTGTGACACAGAGTGTTGGACTGGATGGGCCTTTGGCCTCATCCAACACTGGCTTCTCTTATGTTCTTATCTAGTCCAGCACCCTGTTCCTCAGGGGCCAACCAGATGCACCAAAAGGGCTACAAGAGAGAAGTATGGAGCCCAAAGTTTCATCTAAGTGGTTGCAGCTCCCATCTACTCTCATTGCTGCTGTGGCACGTGATCCAAGTCTTAGCACCACTGGGCTCTCACAGGGTTGCCAACCAACAGGTGGGGCCTGGAGATCTCCTGGAACTGCAACTGTCCTCAAGATGACAGAGATCAGCTCCCCTGGAGAGCGGACTCTGTAGCACTGTGAACTCTACGGATGGATATCGCATTATACTCCACTCTGTGAGGTAGGTGGGGCTGAGAGAGCTCTTTCCAGGACTGCTCTTGAGAGAACAGCTCTGGGAGAACTTGTAATTGACCCAAGGTCACACCAGCTGGCTTCAGGTGGGGAAGTGGGGAATCAAACCCGGTTCTCCCATTTTAGAGTCCATGCTCCTAACCACTACACCAAACTGACTGCAGAGATCAGTTCCCCTGGAGAGAATGGCTGCCTTGGAGGGTAGACTCTGTGGCACTATACCCCGCTGAAGTCTCTCCTGTCCCCAAACCCTGCTCTCCCCAGGCTCCACCCCCAAATCTCCAGGAATTTCACAATCTGGAGTTGGCAACTCCTAATCAAAAAGTTTCTGCTGGTCTCGACTTAAATGTCTGTACATACTGTTGGCCGTGACCACGTGCTATGTTGTATTCGTTCCCAGCAGTAATGCAGATAATTGTATCATCTTTTTCTCTCTCCTTAGACCGCAGATGTCTATTATATCTATGTGATTGAAGCCACTTTAAGGGTACCCTCTGAGGGTAAGTACCGTTGTGATCCCACTCCACTTGGTGCATTTGGCAACCCTTCACTTCATCCTTGCAACTGTTGGCAGAGTTTAAATATGCAAGGGAAGCGGAGCACTGACTGTTTAGAGAAAACGGTAGGTTTTATTAAAGAAGTGGAAACTGTCATAGACCAGGGCTATTTTTGGGCGGGAACGCACAGGAACGGAGTTCCGGCTGGCTCCCGAGTTGGCCACGCCCAGCAGGAACTCATTAGCATAATAGGCCACACCCAACAGCAGAAACTCATTAGGATTGGCTACATTAGGGGTGTGTGGCCTAACATGCAAAGGAGTTCCTGCTACAAAAAAAGGCCCTGGGTTTTGACAACAAACAAGGTAAACAGAATAAGAAGCAAAAGGTGGGTGTGGCTGGATGAGCACACTTCTGGTAACATGGGGGTGCAGCCTAATGTGGTAATGAGCTGTGCTGTCAGGGGTGTAGCCCAATATACTAATGAGTTCCTGCTGTTGGGTGTGGCCTATTATGCTAATGAGTTCCTGCTGGGCTTTTTTTACAAAAAGAGCCCTGCAGAACATAGAGGAGAAAAAACTGTAACCATCTAGCCTAACCGCTGATGGAGGAACAACAAGAAGAGCCAATCAGGAGACAGCAAGGGCATAATTTGGAACTGTGGGCAGTCCCTAATCTGGCTATGCTAACGACCAGTCCTTCAGCGGTCCCCCTTTTGGGTGATCTTCAGATCTTCTTCATAAGGCTACACTAATAGACTTTGCGTATTCCAACAGCATTGTACAGGCCTAGAAAGGTGTCTGCAAGAGCCAGGGCGCTGGGTTACACAGAGCAACGTAAGCCCCCTTGACCTGGTGGCCCTTTTCAGACATACCCAGAGCACGTGCTGCTCATCACCCATATGTGGAGTCCCCAGGGGTCATTTCCTGCAGGAGCGCACAGGAGCAGAGCTCCGGCAGTAAAGAGCCCAGGGGGTGGGCACAGGCAACAAGCCCCACCTCCTGCTCCCAGCAGCCCTCAGTCAGAGCAAGAAGCAGCCAGGTAAGTTGCAGAGCCTCCCAGCCCCCCAGTCCTAAACAGTCCAGTGGCACCTTTAAGACCAAGTTTTGTTCAGGTACAAGCTCTCCCTCCTCTGCGAGGAGAGATCTGCACGTTCCCCCCCCCCCAAAAAAAAGCTAGCAATCCAAAACGGTCCGGTGGTGCCTTCTGACACACTTCTGGTGATGTCAGGGGGTGTGGCATATGCAAATAAGTGATGCTAATGAGTTATGCTAATGAGCTCCTGCACCTCTTTGTCTACGAAATGACCCCTGGGAGTCCCCATGCTGCCTGAGAGAGGCAACACATGGTTTTTGCCTCACAAAACCTTGATTTTTCTGAGTTTTTGTTTGTGTGTGCTGAAGATACAAATCCATGTCTTGCCCCTCTCAAATGACCTTATCATGAGGGGGTTGGGCTGCTGGCCTCATGGTATGTGTGGACTGTAACGTGAAAAGGGGTAGGGCTGTAGGGTTTTCAGGTCTTACCTGTCTGCCGGCAGGGGGCTCCAGGCTGCTGGCTGGGATCTTCTGGTGCTTTCTGCCCTCAGAACCATAGAGTTTGCCACAAAAAACCCCCTAGAGTGTCGCCCTCCAATTTCAGCAACACTATGACATCACTTCCAGGTGATGTCATTGTGACAGGGATGTCGCACCGAAACATCCTGTTCAGGGGTGGGGCTTTCCCCGCCAGCCAGCTGGCCGGTGGCGGATTGGCGCCCCAAAGATTGGGGGATCCCCTGGCCGGACCGGGGGTCTGGCAACCCTATAGGGTTGTGAAATCCTTTGGGGGCACAACACAGGGAAAGTTAAGAATTTCCACAGTAACTGGGTTCTTACAGGGACATGTAGACCTGTCTACTGTGAAGAGGGGCAGGGACCAAGGCCCAGGGCCGACTGCCTCCCCCTCCCACCTCCTGCCCTTCCCCCACGAACTCACTTGCAAGGAGGGTCAGCAGCCCTGGATCGGGAAATACCTGGAGATTTTGGGGGGTGGAGTGTGAGGAGGGCAGGGTTTGGGGAGGGGAAGGGCTTCAATTGGGAGGTACTTCAGTTGGCTCCACCCCCACCCCCAAATCTCCAGGTATTTCCCAACCCAAAGTTTTCCCTTAAACGATAGAGCACCCCCTGCAGCATGCCATGCACAATGATGTCGCCTCCCGGTGACGTCATTGCGGTGCACATGTGTAGTGCGCGCGCCGAAGAGATCCCGGAGAAGAACCGGGACCCCCACACTGGCGTCCAGGTAAGACCTAGTAATCCTACAACCCTCCCATTGGTTGCTGAGCACTGCCTGGCAGCCCTCAGTGCAAGAAGGTTACTTCTGGGGTGACCTGGTGTTAAAAAACCAGGAGGATTCTGGCTGGTGATGTTATCGATCTGCCGGTTTGACCTGTCTTCAGTGCCTCCTCTAGCCAACACCCCTGGTGCTACAGGTGGCAAGGAATCGACATCTGACCCAGAGGGTTCCTGGATCAAGCTTTCTGCAATGCCAGTTACTCTTCAGCCAAAATATGATTTTGCTTCCAACAATGCCACTTGGGTGTTTATCTGTGTGCTTCAGGTTCACTCTACTATGGAATCGAAACTGTCCGGCTCTTCTCGACTCCAATTGGTAGCTCGTTTAAATGCCTCAGCAAGCAAACCGTAGACGTGGACAGCAACTTTCAGCTGCTGGCTGTCAATACCCAACTGCAAGCCTTTGATATTGTTGGGAACCAGTTTGGGAAAGGTAAGTAAATGAACCCGTGTTAAAGACTTTCCTACGAAAAGTAATCTGACAGATGCATCCCCCCCCCCCGCCCTTGGAAGCAGGTGCAGCACAGAGATTAAAAAAAAGGAATACCTTTTGAAAATAAACAAGAGTTTTAAAAAATACAAATTTGCTATGGAGAAGGGCTTCTTGGATGTAGAGAGAGACACAGACAGTGGCTGTGATTACTAAGGGAAAGGTGCTCTTTGTATTTTCAGGAACCCTTTTCCCTTATCTCATGAAAACCATAGTAAGGAAAGATGCAAGTGTCGGAGAGGCAATACAGTACGGGCTCTACGATCAATGAAAACACTGATGCCTGATGTGAAAAAGTCTGAGTCCAGTGGCACCTTTTAAGACCAACAAAGTTTAATTCTGGCTATAAGCTTTTGTGTGCATGCATGCACGCATCTTCGGATAGGATGTGTTTAGTCCATCTGAGCTCTAGGGGGAGCTGTAATTTATGCTTTCTACTCTCCGGGGTTTATTGACTACTTCTCTTGTTTTCCCTGCCTCTTGCTGGTCTTCTCCTCTAGAGAGCAAATGTCCAGTGGAACCTTAAGGACTAGCAACCTTTATATCAGTGTGCGTTTTCATGATCCACAGCAACTGTCTTCATATATCTGAGGAAGTGAGCTGAGACTCACAGAAGCTCGTATCAAGATAGACGTTGGTGGTCCTTAAGGTGTCGCTGGACATTATGCTTTATTTGGCCACGACAGACTAACGTGGCTTACCCGTTTGTAATCACCATGGAGGTACTTAGATGTTATCTTGGATTCTCATATAACAAACAACCATTTCAATGTATGACATAGCAACAAAATCAATATAAATCATGAAAAATACATAACGGACTTATGTAAGAAAAATCACCAGGCTTAAGCAACTCAAATTCAAAAGGTTACATACAATAACAGTATTATAGATTGGTGTTATACCGTAGTGATCTTCCAGACTGTTCATGAAAGTATATATATTGTTACGTACAGGGCATTTTTTGTAGAAAAAGCACAGCAGGAACTCAATAGCATAATAGGCCACACCCAACAGCAGAAACTCATTAGCATATGAGGCCACTCCCTGACAGAGCAGCTCATTAGCATATTAGGCCACACCCCATGTTGCCAGAAGTGTGCTCATCCAGCCACACTCACCTTTTGCTTCTTATTCTGTTTACCTTGTTTGTGGTCAAAACCCAGGGCTTTTTTTGTAGCAGGAACTCCTTTGCATGTTAGGCCACACACCCCTAATGTAGCCAGTCCTAATGAGTTTCTGCTGTTGGGTGTGGCCTATTATGCTAATGAGTTCCTGCTGGGCGTGGCCAACTTGGGAGCCAGCCGGAACTCCGTTCCTGTGCGTTCCTGCCCAAAAATAGCCCTGGTTACGTATAATTAACTGTTTCCTGAAAATACTGTGGAATTTGGGATCTCGATGTCGAATTAGGTAGAAATGATGCCTCTAGAAACGGGAGCCATTTATTTATTAACACGGCTTCCTGCGTTTCTAAACGTGCCCATACCGTGTGCAATTTTGTCCATCGGATATAGTTCCCAGACCGTGGCATATCACAGGTTCTAACGATTTAAATATTTAAAATATTTAAAAATATTTTTTTAATTTAATATTTAATACATATTTCATTTTTAAAAAAGAAAGCTGTATCTTGGAGGTCTCTCTGATACTGGAAGGCTCAGTTAATGCTTCCTGTAGTCTCGTTGTTGCAGCAAATGTTACAGAATGCAACGTGGCACGTGCGGGACCGGCTGATTTCCCGGTCTCTGCTAACAGCAAGAACCTGTAGGGGGTTCCAACCTCCAGGTGGGTCCTGGCAATCTCTTGGAATTACAACAGATTGCCAGACTACAGAGATCAGTTCCTCTGGAGAAAATGGCTCTTCTGGCGGGTGTCCTCATTATTTTGTGTCCTCATTATTTTGCATGCTAATTTAACAAACCACTCCTATATATACAACTATGATAGGTAATTCCATTTCATTGTCTAATGAAGTGTGCATGCCCACAAAAGCTCACACCTTGAATAAAACTTTGTATGTCTCTAACTTTGTTCTGTTGCTTCAGACCAGGGGTGGCCAAACTGTGGCTCGAGAGCCACATGTGGCACTTTCAGACATATTGTGCAGGGCAGCTGGGGAAGCGAAGGGGAGGCACGCCTCATCGATCAGTCTTCCCTTCCCCAGCCAGTGTTCCCTTCCTTGGGTAGGCTTGGGGGGGGGGGGCAAGGTCAAAAAAGCAACCTTAAATGCATTCTTAAAGCTCCCCGGTGGCCTACTTGTGGAAGGCATTTTTCTCTTTAAATCCCTTCCCCAAGCCAAGCCAGCTAGCTTGGGGGCATTGGGGGGGGGGTGTTTGGAGAACACATTTAAAGTTAAAGTCGCTTTCTTTCCACCTCTCCCTCCCTCCCTCCCTCCCTCCCTTTTCCCCATTTATTTGCTTTCTTTTCACCTTTCTCTCTTTTCCCCTTCCTTCCTCCCTCCTTCATTTTTTGTATTTATTTATTTATTTTTGGATTTATATCCCGCCTTCCCTGAAGGCTCAGGGCGGCTAACAAAGAGGCACAAGTGCCAAAGTTAAAACAAATAAAAGCAGAATAAAACAGTACAATACAAAATACTAAAGTGTTGGTGCTCTAGATGTTACATAATCATTAATTGCAAGATGGTGTTCTGGAGAAAGTTATTAATTCCAGACCAACAGCATACCTCCTAGCAGCACAGCTATCCCATCTTCATCCATTTGCTTTCTTTCCACCTTTTTTTCTCCTTTCCTTCCTCCTTCCCTCACCATCTATTTGCTGTCTTTGTTTCTCTCTCGTTCTCTCTCATTCTTTCTTTCTACCTCTTTTACTCTTTCCACCTCTCTCTTTCTCTCTCTCTTAGACAAACTACACAAGTAAATATAATTAGCAAATAAATAAATATCATTGGGCCAATAAATAAATATCATTATCAATCTGTTTTTACCCCTTTTGTTTTTATTTCTGACAGTCTCACTTAATGTTCATAAAAAGCAAAAATGCATATTTTCCAATAAAAGCAATCCTGTGATATTTGTTCATGTCTTGTGGCTCTCAGACATCTGACATTTATTCTGTGTGGCTCTTACGTTAAGCAAGTTTGGCCACCCCTGCTTCAGACCAACATGGCTACCCACCTTGATCGAATGTCACACTATGTAATTTTTTACAGTCTTCACCCCCCAAACCCCTCCCATTGGTTTTCAGCAAATGGACAGCAACCTTAAAAGGGAAACAGCAAGCAGAATCACATGACCAGGTTCCCAGAGTCTTTCCTTGGCATTTCTGATTTAAGAGAAGGAACAGGTGCAAGCTAAAAAATTAATGTAAGACAGAAACTCTGTCACCGGTTGTGCTTCCCCAGCCCAATTTGAGAAAACACTCGGCACAGTCCTGTAGAGTAGAATCAAAACTAAAACTTTATTAATAAAGGAGATGAGCACAGGTACAACAAGGTTTTGGATCCTTGAATACCCACAGCTCTCCCTAAGGTTACAATGGGAGACATAGGGTTTTATACTCAATATGACGCTTTGCAAATAAAACATAATTATTGGTTCCATCAAACTTTGTCATATATCCGTCACATCATTCTGATTAGGCCCAGACCTGTAGGTTGGACCTCCTTCAGTTAAACAATGGGCCTTCTTCTTCCCAGGCTATGAAGTTCTAAAAAGTATCTAATGTAACAGGTATGGGTACATCGTGTAGTATGGTTTCCATCTAACGCAAGCTAACTGACATCAGGGACATGCGCAGTTACCGCTGGCCATAATAAGCAAGGTCATAAGCCGTCAGTTACTGCCTGTCAGCATTTAGTATTTTCCCCAGAATGCATTTAAGCAATGAACCAAAGTTAATATCTGAATATATGTTCATAATTGATTTCTGTTTCTGTAATTAGAATCATCAGTGGCACTTAACATATCTGTATGTCTGTGTATGTCAGAGGTGCTGAGTCCATTAAGGTTAGTCTACTAAGTCAGACAGAGTGCTGAGTGCATAACAGTGTTTCATAAACTGTGCGTATAACATTGATGAATTAAGCAAAAAAAAAAACCCCAAAAGAACCCGCTTTGATCATCAGTGGCCTGAATATATTTATTTTATTTATTTATTTGGTTTGTATCCCGCCCTCCCAAAGGCTCAGGGCGGCTCACATGCGGCAAAGCCGAAATATAAAATACAATAAAACATGTAACAGAATAACAACATTTTTTAAAAGAACATTTTATTGAGGTTTTCTAAGTTTATACATCTGCAAAGATCAGTTAGTCCAAGAAACACAATTACATTAAAAGGGTAGATTCTATACCGAAGCAAAATACACACAAATAAACTTAAATACAGGGGAACAAATACTGAAATTAGTTAGCACTCATAATATAGATTAATTTAGCCTCGACTCAATAGTGAATAAAGCCCATTTCGTGTCTATAATCTTTTCTGCTTCTACCTTTTCTAGAAAAGGAAACCATTTGTCAAGTGGGTCAAGAAGCAAGTTCCTCTCAACTGATTTACTTGAATATACTGTGAATTTTTCTAGTGTAAAGTAGTCCCATACTTTGTCTAGCCACTGGTCCAAGTTGGGGGCATTCCTATTTTTCCATTGTTGAGCTATGGCTGCTTTGGCTGCCACAATAAAATCTATGCTACCTTACGGTGCTGTAATCTTCCTATGTCAATTCTTCCAAGATGGGAACAACCACCCCAATTTTGGCGGCCAGCTATCTCGATAGCGCGGTCTCCCACAACACTATCTGTAAACTCCTGCCAAGCAATGCTTACCCCCTTTTAATGGGGGCAGCCGATGAAACACTACCGTGGTGGTGGGGTAGTGGCGGCGGCGGCTCCTACTCATAAGCCTGGCAGAAGAGCTCTGTCTTGCAGGCCCTGCGGAACTGCACAAGGTCCCGCAGGGCCCGGATCTCCTCTTTGAGCTTGTTCCACCAGGTAGGAGCCGCCACCGAAAATGCCCTGGCCCTAGTAAGGGCAAAGTTAATCTCTTGGGGACCTGGAACTTCCAGGAGATGGAGGCTCCCTGATCGTACTGCTCTTGGGGGAACAGACGGGAAGAGGCGGTCCTTATAATTAAAACTAGCTAGAACGTCTACTCTAAAGAGTGCACTTCCCAATTTTGGGTGATGCTGAAGTTGCAGTCGGCTAACTGGGAAGCACATGATTGTCATTGCGTCATTCATGCTTATTAATCTGGTTTCATTTGCAGAGGAAGAGTGTGCCGTGGACAGAAACAAGAGAATGATCCCCATGATGGTCGGCCTCAGTTTGGCAGGATTACTGGTCATCGTCATCGCCACCTGCGCGATTTACAGCAGAAAGTCCAACAGAGGATACGAACGCATCTGAGTCACCACATCACTGAAGAATGTACCCAGCAAGTACGGTTGCTAACCTCCAGGCAGGGCCTGGAGCTCTCCTGGAATGACAACTGATCTCCGGACGACTGAGATCGATTCCTCTGGAGGAAAAATCATGACGTTGGAGGGTGGGCTCCATGGCACGATACCCTGCTGAGACCCCTCCCCTCCCTACACTGCATCCTCCCCAGGGTCCACCTCCAAATCTCCAGGAGTTTCCCACCCTGGGGCTGGCAATCCCAACCAGGGGGACACATGAACACATGAAGCCGCCTCATGCCAAGTCAGATCACTGGCCTACCAAAATTGGTGGCTTTAGCTCCCCTCCAATCTTAGCTTCACCCTCAAATCTGTAGGAATTCCCCAACCAGAAGTTGTACCTGAATAAAACTTTGTCTTAAAGGTGCCACCGGTCTGTTTTGGGCCGGGGGGGGGGGCTCTGCAGCTTACCTGGCTGCTTCTTGCTCTGATTGAGGGCTGCTGGGAGCAGGGGGTGGGGCTTGTTGCACGTGCCCGTCCCCTGGGCTCTTTACTGCCGGAGCTCCAATCCGTGCGCTCCAGCAGGAAATGACCCCTGCCTATGTTACTTCTTGCTAAACCAGTTGGGGGAGGAATCCTAGAACCACAGAGTTGGAAGGGGCCGTACAGGCCATCTAGTCCAACCCCCTGCTCACACAACCACTTTGTTAAATTGTAAGCTAAAGTGTTTTTCTGTCTAAAACTGGCTCTGGGAATTTTCTCTTAATCCCACCCCCCAATAATTCAAAGATTTCTTCCTTTGAATCACTGGAAACATGAATATGGTCATCGGGTTGCCAGCTCTGGGTTGGGAAATACCTGGAGATTTGGGGGGGGGGTGTAGCCTGGGGAAGGCAGGGTTTGGGGAGGGGAGGATCTTCAGCAGGGTATAATGCCATAGAATCCAACCAGCCATTTTCTCTGGTGGGACTGATCTCGGTTGTCTGGAGACCAGCTGTAATAGCAGGAGATCTCCAGGTGCCACCTGGGGGTTGACAACCCTAGGACAAAGATAACTTTTTTCCTGTACTGTTCCCAGTAGAAGACTGAATGAATGCAGAATTAAGGTGTTGATGAATCCTGAAGTATTATCCTTCTCTCTGTGTTCTGTGTGGTTGTTTTTTAAAAAAATATAGGGAATATGTGTGTGGTCCCGGACACACGGGCCAGAAAATGCGCACGCGCGCGCGGGGGGGGAGAATCATGGCTGTTTGTCCCGGAGCAAACTAACGCGCGGCCAGTGGATCACACGTCCTGCCAACGTCCCGTGGTTCGGGGGGAGGTGCCGATCACACGACAATCCTGCGGCGCGGCAAAGAAGCGGCGCGATCACAGCAGCAATGGCTAGGCGCCGCTGCCGTGGCAAACGGGGTTGTGGGTTTTTTAAAAAAACCGAAGTGTGTGTATGCGCCGTTGGGTGCGTGTGCGCATCCCGTGGAGACTTGGGGGGGAGAAAACCCCTTTTTGCGACAGGACATGGGCGGGCGCCAGATGCCACGAACTACCACCAGAAACACGATCAGACGCCTGCCCTTGCCCCGCGGTTTCCAGACACTAGTACCTCGGAGGTACTAGTTTTTTACGCCGCATCTTCGGCGGGAAGCCTCGGGTTAGCCACGGGAGCTCTATGCTTCCCAGATGTTGCGGTGTGATCGCGCCCGGAAAATCCGCCTATCTTCCGTCTCTGTAGCGTGGCTAATGCTCCGTGTGGCCGTAGCCTCTCTCTCTCTCTCTCTGTGTATATATATATGATCATCATTTAATATGAATACAAATTTATTGAAGTGGTTTTATGAAAATCAGTTACGGCTAAGTGCCCTTCTGTTCTGCTAGTGATTGCCTTTTTTCTGTGTGAGAAAAAGAACTGAAAACTAGAATATGTTTGCTTCAGCAATTTGCTTTATTCAGAGAAAGAAAAACCATGACTTTCTAGCAATTCCTTAGTGGACTTTTAAAAAACGGTGATGGTATTTATTTCTTTATTTGTATTTACAGCGCCCATCCCCCGAGCGGGCTCAGGGCGGTTAACATATCAACAATACGATAAATACAGTTGAAAATTTAAAACACAATCGTAAACATTAAAATTGGTGGTCACAGCTCAAAACAAAAATAGGTAAATAAATGAATTCGGTCAATAAACGTTTCCAATTTTTGTCCCCAAAGAAAACAGGGAGGGGTGCTTGCGTAACAATGCAGTGACTTCCCAGCAGTTGGTGACTGTTGTAATGTTGCAGGACACCCATGTTAACTTATATGCAGCCTGTACTGATTCAAGAGAGAATGGCAGTACAATTTATATTGGGATGGAACATAAACGTCAGGGTTGACAAGACTTTGCATGACAGTCAAGGTAAATATTCCCCCCCCCCCTGAAAGGAACTTTAAATAAGCAAAGACTGACAATTTGATCAATCAATCGGCTGTGACTCAACAGCACTTTAGACACATGTAAGAAAACTTTTTTTAGGGAACTAGCTATGTTCCTTTGTGCCAGGTGAACTGATATTAGAAGATTTTAATGTGTTAATGGAAACCTCAATTTGGACCTGGATACAGGTAGTTAAGATTTTTAGAAAGCTATATAAAAATGCTACATATTTCAGTTCCTTGATGTTTCGGGCTAAAGGACCACCCGGGGCCAGAATATCTTTTCTACAAGTTCACATGTTTTTATACAGGAATGACTTCTCAGCTTTGTAAAACTGGGAATTCTATTTATCATCATTCTCCTGCATACTTAGGAGAAAGAAAAATCACATAAATGGAGATTGAATGCTATGCTTCTAGATCAGAAAGCTGAATCTGAATTTTATTTTGAGGTAAACTTGGAGCCAAGAAATTTCCACAACTACAGTACAGAAGGCTTACTGTGAAGAGGCATTATAATTAGTTTACCTAATTATCTACATACACAGAGTTGTGTAGTGATTTGAGTGAAAGCCTAGGGTTGCGGTCACCATAAGACAGCCACAACTTCACAGCACTTTGCACACACACACAAGCAGGGTCAGTACTTGGAAGAAAGACCACCAAGGAAGGCTCTGCAGAGGAAGGCCATGGCCAGCCACCTCTGCTTCTCACTTGCCTCGGAAGCCCCTTGCTAGGGGAAGCTAAGCAGGGTTGGTATATGGATGGAAGACCACCAAGGAAGGCTCTGCAGAGGAAGGCCACGGCCAGCCATCTCTGCTTCTGACTGGCCTTGAGAGCCCCTTGCTAGGGGAAGCTAAGCAGGGTTGGTATATGGATGGAAGACCACCAGAAAGGCTCTGCAGAGGAAGGCCGTGGCCAGCCACCTCTGCTTCTCACTTGCCTCGAAAGCCCCTTGCTGGGGGAAGCTAAGTAGGGTTGGTGTATGGATGGAAGACCACCAAGGAAGGCTCTGCAGAGGAAGGCCATGGCCAGCTACTTCTGCTTCTCAGTGGCCTTGAAAGTCCCTTGCTGGGGGAAGCTAAGCAGGGTTGGTTTATGGATGGGAGACCACCAAGGAAGGCTCTGCAGAAGAAGTCCATGGCCAGCCACAACTTCACAGCACTTTGCACACACACACAAGCAGGGTCAGTACTTGGAAGAAAGACCACCAAGGAAGGCTCTGCAGAGGAAGGCCATGGCCAGCCACCTCTGCTTCTCACTTGCCTCGGAAGCCCCTTGCTGGGGGAAGCTAAGCAGGGTTGGTGTATGAATGGAAGACCCCCAAGGAAGGCTCTGCAGAGGAAGGCCATGGCCAGCCACCTCTGCTTCTCACTTGCCTCGAGAGCCCCTTGCTAGGGGAAGCTAAGCAGGGTTGGTGTATGAATGGAAGACCCCCAAGGAAGGCTCTGCAGAGGAAGGCCATGGCCAGCCACCTCTGCTTCTCACTTGCCTCGGAAGCCCCTTGCTGGGGGAAGCTAAGCAGGGTTGGTGTATGAATGGAAGACCCCCAAGGAAGGCTCTGCAGAGGAAGGCCATGGCCAGCCACCTCTGCTTCTCACTTGCCTCGGAAGCCCCTTGCTGGGGGAAGCTAAGCAGGGTTGGTGTATGAATGGAAGACCACCAAGGAAGGCTCTGCAGAGGAAGGCCATGGCCAACCACTTCTGCTCCTCACTTGCCTAGAAAGCCCCTTGCTTTTGTCACCATAAGTTGGCTGTGACTTGACAGCTCTTGACACACAAAATGTTTGAAATGTTTTAATGTCTGCGACCTTGGGGAGCCTGAGTTGGGTGGAAAGGCGGCACAGAAAGGTTTTAAATAAATGGAACAAGTCTAACCTACCTCACAGGGTGCTTGTGTGAGGATTAAATGGAGGAGGGGACAATGACGTACACCACCCGGGGCTCTTCGGAGGAAGGGTGGAGCAAAACAAATGAAAATGTAATAAAGAGATAACCTCTCCTACTTGAAAGTGGGGTGTATGTACAGACGGAGTGTTAAGTCCGGCGCTTAACAATGAGTCGGAGAGTGATTTCAGTAAAGGCTCAAGTTTATTCAGCTCTTTCTTCACTTCTTCGACACGGTACAACATCTGATAGCCCGAACAGTTTGCCCATTGAAACTGCCCGGTATTTAAACATTAAAACATTAAACAAGTTGTTCTTACCATTCTCTCGGCCTGCCCGTTTGAGGCCGGGTGAAACGGCGCGGCCGTCATTTGCCTGATCCCGTTATCAGACAAGAACCTCCTGAACTCCTCGGAAGTAAATTGTGCGCCGTTGTCACTCACGAGTACGTCAGGCAACCCGTGAGTGGCAAACAACTGTCGCAGCACTGTGACGACAGTGCTCGAAGTGGTCGATCGCATGTGAGCCACTTCTAACCATTTGGTATAAGCGTCGACAATTACCAAAAACATTTGCCCTTGTACTGGCCCTGCGAAGTCGAGGTGCAATCTCGACCAGGGCTTTCCCGCCGACTCCCATCTCTGAGGAGTGGCGGTTGGTGGTTCAGGCCTAGCCTGCTGACAAGGCTCACACACCCGAACCCACTCTTCAACGTCGGCGTCTAGCCTGGGCCACCACACA